ATATCCAAGAATAAATGCATTAAAAATAATGTCACTTTGGAGGATTGTGATTTGCATCTATTTGAGATTAAAGGGCGCCACCTATTGGTGCTTTTGGGTGTGTTGATGCTGAACAATATGTAGAATAGCACTGCCAGTTCAGTGTGTGTTCTGCCGCGTTTTTGACGCGCTTCGGGCTGTTTTTGTATTTAAAAAAAATATCTTTTTTTTAACCTAAAATGGGCTTTCAATGCGTTCCAGGGCATTTGCATGTGTTTGCATGCGTTCCAGAGCAGGTAAAATAGGGCTTGCTGCAGTTTTTTTTACATGCTCTGGAACTGAACGCTGCAGTGTGAACTAGAGCCCAAAATACCATTGGAATACATTGGATGCAGTTTTGATCCAAGTTCAGAAAATACCTGTTGATGTTGCCAGAAATGCAAAGTCCTTGTTACTGTGAGCTGAAAAGAAAGTACAATCATCCTTTTCTTTTTTCAGTCACATCAATCCACCTTGTAATGGGGATGAACAAAAGCAGAAGTTTTTGAAGTTCAGTCTGCTTGCCAACTATGATTCCCTCCGTAGATACAGTGGAGAAATGAGCAGAAGAAAGTCATGCAGATACAGAAAGTGTGCTATTTGCAGGATTACCAGGGAAAAATAAAGGGAAAAAAAGAAAACGAATGCTACTAAATCTAAGGACTGGTAAGCTACAATATATTACATTTATAGAAGTACCTGGAATACATAAATATATATATATTTTTTTTAGTTGAAATATGGCTGGTACAACAGTTAATTTTACATTGTACTTGAACCATCCTGCCAAAAAAAACCCCAAAATGGCTGCACTTTAGCTTAAAATATTTTCCCCATGGGATGTAAACAAGAATGTAAGTGTTGACATCACTTTAGCTTTTTACCTGGTATAGCGAGAAGAAAAGTTGTATCACCCAGGTTCGGAAGTGCTCCTTTAGACCCCATTCACACTGAGGGACATGGAAATCGCGCGACTTTGAGCGACGTGTCGCGCGACATCGCGCAACATCTTCCTATTGGGCTGTATGCAATCAGGAGCAATATCGCTCAAAATCGCTCTAAAAAAGGGTCATGTAGGAGCGACAAGCTACCAGCGACGAGCTACAAGCGATATTGAGCGATATTGAGCGACGAGATTTGAACAGCTACATTGAAATGTATTGGTGAAGCTACATAGAGCGATATAGCGCGGAAATATGAGCGATATCGCTGCAAAAATCGCTCCATAAATCGCTCAGTGTGAATGGGGCCTAAATGTTTTATGCCTTGTTCTCAGGGGGCAGAAAAAACAGGCGGTTGTTCTGTGGATTACTTTTCAGAGGGCAATGAAGGCTGCTGCTTCTGTGAACTCAGCCTTAACCCCTTCGTGACTGACGCTGTTTAAACAGACTCCCGGCGGCTATTGCCGCCTTAAGTCTGTTTAACCTTGTAAAGCCGACTGTCGGCTTTACAACAGAAGCGATTCTGGCGACAGATCGCTTCTGTGTCCCGTAGAAGGGGGCCGCCGCCGTGCTTCCCGGGCTCCGTTGCCCCTCCTACGGGCCCGGCGTCCTTGGGGAGCTGGGGAGGAGGTTGACGAACTTCCGTTCATCGATCCCCTCCCCGTTCTATGGGACCGGGAGCGATGCAGATTGCATCACTTCCGGTCCCTGGGCTGTCAGTTCTGGGCTCCTGCAGCCCAGCAATAAGCTATTGAAGTGCGATCTGCACTTCAATAGCTTATTTCCAGTGTAAAGGTGACACTGGGGGTCTTTTGGACCCCCAGCATCACCTTAAAGAGTACCTGTCACCACCATCTGCTATCACATGGGGGGGCTTGTAAGCCCCCCCATGTGATAGCAGTCAAAGTAAAGTAAAAAAAAAAAAAGTTTTTAAAGATAAAATAAAATAAATCTAATAATATTTAAAAAAATTAAAAGTCCCCCCCCTCGTGAGCATGCGCGTCGCCACGTAAACACGCGTTGGGTGCGCCTACGTATGAAAACGACGAACGCGCTACACATGTTGGGTATCGCCGCGCACGCCGGAGTGAGAGCAATAATTCTAGGGCCAGTATTTTGGGGTATCTCTAAATTGATGACCTGTGGGGGCTTGTAAAGCGTCTTCTATGGATTTGTTGGGTTACTGCAGTTTTTCGCCGTTTCACGGACGCACGCAATTTGTAACCTGGGCATGTTGGGTATCGTTTTACTCGTTGTAACCTCATCTTTTATATTTCATTTAAAAAATGGGTATTTTGTTGTGTTTTGGGGCTTTTAATTAAATTTTTCACTAAATGTTGGGGTTTAATAAGGAGTTGCGCTAATATTGCGCAACATAAAAATTTGCAACTACCACCATTTTATTCTATAGGGTCTTGGCATTCAGAAAATATATAATGTAGGGGGGTTTTAAGTCATTTTCAGGCCAAAAATGTGGAATATAACATGGGTGCAAAAAATGAAAAAAAGGCCTCAGTCATGAAAGGGTTAAACCTTTTTGTGCAATATATGTGCCTCTTAAAATGTTGACGGTGACCCTCATGTTACCATTACCACAGGGCCATTAAACAAGATGCCTCCCCTCTCTTTAAAACATCAGTCAAGTTCACACAATTACCAGTTTCTTTAGCTTTCAGGGGCAGACTGGGAAGTAAGGGGCGGGATGCATAGTTATAGATTAGGTAAAGTACTACACCCCCCACTCTGAAGTGAAGGGTGCATCTGTGCACTTGGCATATGCAAATCTAAAAATCATTCCCCTCTACCAATTGTTCATTTATTCTTCCAGAGTTGAATCTGCTTCCAAAAGCATGTATGATTATATTTGGGGAGAAATACTCTCAGGTCTATTCCCAAAAGGGTGAAGAGTTTGGAGAAGGCAGGAGTAGTGAACCGTCTAGGACAATATAGCTGAACTGGAAAATGAGCTGAATTGGAGAATTTCTCTGAATCAGCTATGTTATCCTAGATTGTTCCTGCCTTCTCTAAACCCTTCACCCTTTTGTGAATAATCCTGTCTATCTTCAATGGTATTGTGCAGCTTCTTGCGTTATGTGGCCAATTCTAATAGACCATGGACACATGGATGCTTCCTAATTTATTCTTTCGATCAGATCCTTTGTTACATTATAAACAGTGTTTTATGAGTTTGTAAAACATTGGCGAGTCATGGGTTTAGATTCTCTTTCATTAATCAATTTAACAGGTATATCAGGGAGTGGGGGGCAGGACAGTTATTACCCCACTCTGGCCCTTGCTTCCCCTCGTGGAGCAGTGGGGGTATGGAGAGTCTGTTTCCTGCTGGTACAGGGCTGATGTTTTAAAAAAGTGTACCATTTTTACAGGCACTGACTAATACTGTGTACCAGGGGTGAGGAACCTCCGGCCCTCCAGCTGTGGTGAAACTACGAATCTTATGAATCTGTCTCTGGGAGTCATGCCTGAGGCTTTGAGAATCTTGCAATGCCTCATGGGATTTGTGGTTTCACCACAGCTGGAGTGCCAGAGGTTCCCCACCCCTGCTGTATACAGTCCAGAATCAGCATGGTGGAAGGCCCACACGCTCAGCCTACCTAGCCATATACACGTTGTGCTAGGCTGATCGCTTGTGAGAGCCATGTGGTTTAATGTAGTTTATATTTTTATTAAATTAAATGAAATATATGTTAAGAACTGATCCAATAAGAATATAAGATTAGTGCTGAAGAACCCCAAAAAACAGAGTTGATTTCCGCTTGCTTAAAGTGAAGAACAAACTCATGTATTGTTGGAGTGTTACTTAAAATGATCACCCGTACCACAAGGCACAATGGGCGTGTTGTTATAGGTGAAAGAGGCAAAGAGGCGGCTTTTCCTTGTATAGTTATTATCCTCACATGTTTTCCCATTACCTGTACAAATAAAGTCATCTCATAGAAACTTGTGTGTGGTCATTATTAATATCTAGTGCACAGAAGCCTTAAGGTGCCCATACACTGCTCGATTCTCGTACGAGAATCGCGGGAAATCCCGCGATCGTACGAGAATCGAGCAGTGTGAACGGAGACGTGCGACCGTTTCTACTGTACGGTCGCACGTCTTCCATCGAACCAGCATGTTCGAAAACCAGCCGGGAATCGTACGATTCTCGGCTGGTTAGAACGGTGCTCGGAAGACAAATGCCGAACGGGCCGGTGTGCGCACGCTGCCCGTTCAGCATTGCGGTCATCGGAAGCCCGCCCCTCAGGGGGGCGGGCTTGCGATGATCGAGAGTGCGATCTGCCTGTCCAAGATAGGCAGATCGTATGTTTTTTTAATCCCTTTACAACCATCGCAAGACTTAGGTCTTGCGATGGTTGTACAGTGCATGGCCACCTTTAGAATAAGCGGTCTGAGCGTTATTGTGACCGCTGTCGCAGGTACACCTAAAGAGGGCATACCTTTTTATGAAATGTAGAAAGGGGAGGGTTGCAGTGATCCCACAGAAACGTGATGCACTGGAAGCCAGGTGGAGGATTAAATAGGGAGCTGGTCACTCCCACAAATTCAGGTTAATTATAATTAGCTTTCTAACTTATACAATATTCTAAATCAGGGTTAGAACCAGTAAAACAACAAAATATTCTGTGTAACAGAGGTGATCTTAGCAGTGGGGGATTGTGCCTTGCACCAAAAGTTGTATACCTACAGGTTCAAGTGATGGAGATGTTTCATTACTGATTTTCAATGCATCAGGCACTAATTATCAATGTATGTCAATAAAGAACTACTGTACTATGGTAATTACACTTATTTTCTGATGCATCTAGCCCACAGGTTTGTAGTTTTGTCTTATTTTTACTGAAAACATGCAGGAACAGAGTGAATGAAGCTAGTGTCACACCTCCTAAAATTAACTCTCACAAACGTCTGCTTCATGTCATAATAAAATGATTTATTTGAAAAACACAATAGAAAATATACACTTATCTCTATAAATAAGCATATAAATTAAATTCTAAAATCTGAAATTCTTTTCAGTTTTCAGATTTCATTCACTTCCCTTTTCTTTATCCTCTCTTCAGGGAGTTGTGGAATGAAATGGAAGAACTCCAGGAGGTTCAGTAACAGTCCCCTGTCAAATGGATTGTAGAACTTTCCACTTTCATCCATGAGGTACGAGTACTTCTTTAAATTCATCCTCTCGTTTGTTGTGATGTTCACAGCTGCCATATATAACTGTCAATATACAGTGAAATGACAATCGCAGATTATTCCTTTTGTCAGATGCAGCAGAATTTGGTACAGTGATCATTTCAATAATGTCAAATTCATTTTCATGGTCAAAGCTACCTTTACAGTTTAGATTCAGTGAAAATGTTATTCTTAGTTTTGGATTGAGTGTGTGTGTGTTGTCAGTAGGACAGGAAGTGAGGGTAAATCTGTCTAATAGAGCCTCAGAGAGCAGTAAAAACCCAACAGGAATCCTTAATCCCTCCCCACTCTATTCAAAACTAGAAAATATAGTTTTTGCCTTGACATACACTATAAAGAACAACTCCAGGAAAGGGTTAACTGCTTATTTTTCTCTAGGGGATGGAATGAATAAGATATACCCACCTGATCCTGCAGGGGTGTGTGTTCACCTCTTTCCCCCTCCACTCTGGCTGTGGAATGTCCCTTAAGGTCCCCACACACTTTGCGATAATCGCGGGAAATCCCGCGATCGTACGATTATCGTAAGGTGTGTGGAAGCCGTGCGACCTCTACTACTGTAAGGTCGCACGACTTTTAACTTACGGACATGTTCGAAAACCCGCCGAACATCGTGGCATGGTGGCATGTTCGTACGATAAAAGCCGTACGGGCTGGTGTGCGCAAGCGCACACTGCCCGTTCTGAATTGCGGTCATCGGAAAAGCCCGCCCCTCAGGGGGCGTGGCTTGCGATCATCGCAAGTACGATCTGCCTATGCAAGATAGGCAGATCGTACATTTTTTTAAGTACCTTACAGCCATCGCAAGACAAAAGTCTTGCGATGATTGTAAGGTGTGTGCCCAGCCTTACGGTCCTCACATCTAATACAGGTGAATGGACTGTATCAGACGTGATGATGTCATGGGTCCTTAGACCGATGGAGCCCGGGTTAGAAGAAGTTGTAGGGACTAGAGGTCTAGCAGGATCGAGGATCAGGCCCACTGCAAGGGTTAACTTTTATCTTTCCTCGAGTTGTTCTTTAACCCCTTGATAACTGGGGTGTTTACACCCCCTTCCTGGCCAGGCCATTTTTCAGTATTCAGCGCTGCGGTACTTTGACTGACATTTATTCCGTCATACAACGCTGTACTGAAATTAATTTTATACCATTTTTTGGGACAGATAGAGCTTTCTTTTTTTTGGTGATATTTATTCACCACTGGGGTTTTTTTTTTAACTATACAGTATAATGAAAACAGTACAGAAAAAAAAAACAAACAAACAGTTTTTCCTTCGTTATGTTAACAAAAACATTTATTCTTACCCAAATTTTTAGTCAAATATCAAAGATGGGGTCACGTCTGGTAAATAACTTTGGATGTAGACGTCACCAGCACACCAGGCACGACAAAAACACATGGGTCTGTGCGAATCCATTTAATGATGTGTCACTCGGAAAATCAAGCGCTTTTGGGGCCACACAGGGTCCCCTTCACCAGGCTCGTGAAAAACGAAATCTCCTACTGTAGCATTTTGAAACTCCGACTGACAGCGGCACCTTGGCTGTGCACTAGCAGCTATGGTAAGCACGCCTATTATTATTATTCAAGCTTTATACAGCACCAACAGTTTGCACAGCACTTTACATAATAAAGGAGACAGTACATTTACAATTCAGTTCAATACAGGAGGGTTAGGAGGTCCCTGGTCCTGAAGCTTACAATCTAAAGGGAGCTACAAGTAATACAAAAGGCATTCAGTGTGAGGGATGAGTTGATGGAGAAAGTAAAAGTACAGTTTTTAGGTGGAGGCAGAATAGGCTCAAGGTTCAGTTAAAAGCAGACAGAGTAGGTGATAGCTGGACAGACTAGTGGAGGGTGTTCTAGAGCAGGCCTTCTTAAACTTTCTCCACTCGTGACCCCTTTTTGGCCGAGGGAATTTTTAGGGGACCCCAGCATCGGACGGTGTCTCTACCCTCTTTCCCTCAACGTCGGTGTTCCCCCCCTCCCCTAGCATCAGTCGGTGTCTCTCTCCTCCTCTCCCCGCCGTGGAGTTTCTTTAAAACCTTCAGGGCATTGCAGTCCTACATGTGCGGCCTCGGCTAAGGTCAGCACCTTGGACACCACCATCAGCATGGCGAGTGTCATGCCAGGGCCTTGCAGCCCTTCCCACCTCACTTTGGCTGAAGTGAGTGTGTGCCCAGAGTCATCAGGGCCATTGTGTCTTGCCTCGGCAGAGACAACCCTGAGCATGGCGGCTGCCACTCAGGAGACATCAGGGCCTTGCAGCCCTTCCCACCTCACTTCAGCTGAAGTGAGTGTGTGCCCAGAGTCATCAGGGCCATTATGTCTTGCCTCGGCCGAGGCAGAGACAACCCTGAGCATGGCGGCTGCTCAGGAGACTTCAGGGCCTTGCAGCCCTTCCCACCTCACTTCAGCTGAAGTGAGTGTGTGCCCAGAGTCATCAGGGCCTGGAAGTGCATCCAGTCTTACCTCGGCGGAGGTTAAGACAACTCTGAGCATGGCAGTTGCCGCTCAGGAACCTTCGGGATCCTTCAGCCCTGGGACCCCTGACATCACCCCCAGCAGGGTGAGTGTCTTTCCCGGACTGACAGATACGAAGACCACCGGATGTGACATTTCAAGCTTCATATTGCACCACGTACTTGGAGCAGGAAGCTTTGGAAAGGTAAGCGCTCATTTACTCACCTATAACTAGCATTTGGAGCTCCCCCACAAAACAAATTCCCCTCCGACAACTAGCCAATATGTATCAGCCTTGTAAAATTGCTACCGCTACTGGTAGAACAAATGATCACCTGCTGCCCTCTGCAATCACACTCCCTGGTGTCCTCTGCTGTTCTATTACAATGTTAAAATATTTACATAGTTGATGAGGTTGAAAAAAATGACAGCATGACCCTATACAATGGCTGCAGCAGGTGGAAGGCATTGGGAACACAAATGGGGATAGGTCTCACTGCCAGAGATATAAGAAGACTGGTTGTCATTGAACCCAACAGCCTTCACCTAAAATTCATTCCGTTTCAAAGTCAATGCTAGTTCTACCCTGCCCCAGCCCTGAACACATTTTCTTTCCCTGACACACCACTAACTTTTGTCTTCTCTCTCATTCAGGTTGTTCTGGCGACCCACCGGAGGAGCCAGCAGAAGGTGGCCATCAAGTCTGTCATCAAGACCCACGATGATTACGAAATCCAAACAGAGCGGTACGTGCTGGAGATGGCGGCTGGGTGCCCATT